CAGTGTCCGCGCCCACACGGAGAGGGACCCGGGCAAGAATAGCTTTCTCACAGCGCGCCGTGGGGTCTGGGGTGCGCGCTTCACCTGTCCTAGGGTGTTCTGCGAGCGTGGGGGAACCCCGAGCTCTAGCCCAACCCTCCCATTTTACAGACAGGAAAACAGAGGCTCGCAGGGTCAGGGGCTTGTCCAAGATCACGTGCAGCTGGAGCCTCATCTTCCTCATTCCCTGGGCACACCTGTCCTGGCCAGGACAAAGCCTGGCTCTGGAGGAGCTAAACAGATTCCTCCCCTGCCGCTGGGAGGGACGGGGCGCTGAGCAGGGCCCAAGGGGCTCAGCAGGGCGAAGGGAGAGAGGGGCCTCGGGCTTTGGGATTTTCCCTCTCTGGGGCCTTGCCAGCGGGGAAGCAGAGGGTAGGCCGCCCAGGGATGGGATCCAGGGGGCAAAAACCAGGCACAAGCTGGCCACGGCCGGGGGTCCAGGCTTCCTGTAAACAATCTGGTCACGTTGGCCCAGAAGACACTGACCCTGGGCCAAAGAGGCAGAGGCCTCCCCAGAGCGACGGCTCCTAGTCCCACGGAGGCTGCGTCAGCGCCCTGTGTGCAGTAGGCGCTCACTCCTCGTTTATTGAGACACAGCATTGTCAGGCCAGGTGGTTTATTGAAGGGGTGAGTGAGCCTTTGCATATGCTGTTCCCAATACCCAGCACACTCTTCCATCCCATCCTCCCCCTCTGCCAAGCCAATTCCTCCTCCTGCTTTAGGTTTCAACCCAAGATGCCAGTTCCCCCAGGGGTCCTCTGCAGTCACTCTGTCCCCGGGGCAGGGTTAGGGGTCCTTGCTTGGCTCCCACGACCTCCAACTCGCCCGCTGTCACAGAGGTCACATCGCCTTGTGCTCTCATTGCCTGTCTCCCAGTCCCCTCCACTGGACCAGTCCACGCCGGTGTGCCCAGTGCCTGCATCCAGTAGGCACTCAGTACGTGTGCGCTGGTGAACGAGTCCAGCGAAGGAACCCCAGACACAGTTCTGAAGAGGTGTCCTTCAGTCGTTCATTTATTCAATAATCACTCACTCAGCTGCGGACAAGAAAGCTCCCACACAACGAACCTGAGGACCGATAAGACAGTTGGGAAGGGCGGGGAGTTCTAAAGGATATGAAATAGGGCGAGAGGGGGGCAGCCTTAGGCAGGGGTCAGGGAGGGCCTTCCAGAGGAGGGGGCTTGGGGATGAGGCCTGAAGCTGGGAGGGCCATGGGGGACCCTGGGGCCAGGGTGTGCCAGGCAGAGGGCACAGCCGCTGCAAAGGCTGGAGGTGGTCTCTGGTTTGGGCGGGAAGAAAGCGTTCAGGCTCTTCTGGCTCTTCCAGCCACCTTTGGGTGATCCAGACAAATCCTGTGGCCAGCCTGGGCTCGGTCTTGCCATCAGTAAAATGGGGGAGTGGGACCCCGCGCTCTGTCGGGCCTCCTCCGGTGAGACATGCGGCTCCCAGAGCAGCCTCCCGGGGACGCCCGTCCGTCTTCCCTACAAACTCACATTCCACACCCTGGGCTGTTTTGCCATTTCCTTTCATGCTAAACCAAAGCAGCTATTTTGGAAACTCCTATAAGCAAACTAAGCCCTGGCTGGCATTTGAGTGGATAAAAAAGAGCCCTAACTGAGGGACTCAGGCATAAAAGCCACCCAGCCCCAAGAGCCCGCGACGTTAAATTTAGCCGCTTCACCTCTAAATGAGGTGAAATTGCAGGTTCCCTGCGGCCGGTGGGTGGAGGAGACGCAGCGCAGCTTTGGCCAGAGTGCGCGAGACAGATTTAGTGGGAGTGGGTTCCGTTCTCCCAGCTGCACCGTGGGGTCGGAGGCCCGGGACAGTCCCAGCTCTCCCTGCACGTACCAGCCGGCTCCCAGCGGTGTTGGCCTAAGCGTGTGCTGCCTCGGGGGCCAAGCCGGAGAGAGGCAGCGAGGGACACGGGACTGGAAGAGGCCATCCTGTCTGCCACCGAAGGTTTGAGAACTGCATGTCCTCTGTGCCTCTCTCCTCTGCCCAGGGGCCCTGCGGAGTGCTGGCCACCCACGGCTGCCCAGAGCTGAGCCACCGGCGTCCCTCCCCCTCCCCCACACGCCTCCCTGGGACTTCCTAGACCTGCTGCAGTCCAGCAGCTACAGGGTTAATGCCAGCACAGCAGGGAGAGGGACCTTGTGGGAGGGGAGGGGGTCTTCCAGACCCTGCCTCAGTTCCCTGCTGTGACAGTGCTTGAACATTAGGAATGTCACTCTCGGTTGCAGGTGACAGACATTCATCGGGACTTGTCAGGAGCTGCCCACAGGGGGCTCCTGAGAGTTTGGGGTCCCACCCCTAGTCTTCTCAAGGGGAGGACTGTTTCCTCCGACACCAGAGAACATAGCTGGGTGAGGCTGCAGCAGCCAACCACCAGGCCCAGCCGGGAGGGGGCGCAGCTGAGCTGTCTGGGAGCCGTCGCTGGCGGCTGGCCCACAGGGGCCCACGGGGGCCTGGGCTCCCACACCCGAAGCCTACAGGGGATGGGGCCTGGGTTTTCTAGGCTGCTCCCCAGTGCTACCTTTCTGGCTCGGCAGGTCCCCTTCACAATCCTGCTTCCATTCTGGGGCCCCTTTCCCTCCCCCGACCCTGGCTCTGACTCCTGGGGAGGGGGGTGGGTGTGTGTGTGTGTGTGTGTGTGTGTGTGTGTGTGTGTTCGTTCGTTCTCAACACCACGGGGAAGCCCGCGTGGCCTGGCATTAGGAGGCCAGGCTTTGGAGTCTAACACGCCCAGGATCAAATTCCAGCTCTAGCATTTCCTGCCTGTGTGACATTAGAGGAATCATTTCCCCCGTCTCTGTGCCTCAGTTTCTTTATCTGCAAAATGGGGGTAATAACAGTACTTGCCTCATAGGGTGTTGGGAGAATTAAATGAGATTTTTAAGCCCTTAGAACGGGTAGCAGGCAGTACCGGCTACCCAAGGGCCAGAGGCAGGGCTACCCATCACTGCCCATAGCTGTGCCTTTTATGCATAAAGTTTTATAGGAACACAGTCATGGCCTTGCATTTTCACAATGTCTGTGGCTGCTTTCGCTCTAAAATGGTAGAGTTGAGTAGTTGTGACAAAAACCCTATGTCCTGCAAAGCCAAAAATATTTACTATCTGGCTCTTTACAGAAAACATTTGTCCACCTCTGCCTTCTTAGAATCTAGCACATGGTGGTAATTCTTCTTCCTCTTATTGTCATCCGCCGCCTGCCCCTGGGATGAAGTGGCAGAAGCAGCCTCAGTCTTCCCTTCGCTGTCCTCTGGCTTCACAGAGATGTGCTCTGACCCCTCCACGCACCAGGAAAGAACACTCCAGATCCCCGCCTACAGGGAGCCCCCAGATAGTGGGGCAGACGGACAAGTCACCACTCGCAGTCCACTGTAGCTAGAGGGAATGAGCAGCTGTGCCAGCCCAGAGGACACACCCGACACTGCTGGGAGGGGGAGGTGTCCAGGAAGGCTTCCTGGGGGAGGTGACGTCTGGGCTGGATGATGAGGAGGGGTGAGCCAGCAAGCCAGTCTTGCATGGCAGATGCTGTGCAGGAAAGAGCCAGACCTCAGTTGGAAAAATGTGAGTCTCTGGGCCCCCTAACACCCCTTTTTCCTCATATGAAAAATGGGGTCACTGAACCTCATGGCATTGTCGTAATGAACCCACAGTCAGGTGTGCAGGTCTGCACTGAACCTTAGTTCTCCTCTGTCCTCCTTTCTGTCACACTGAGCAGGAAGACGTGGGCTTGTTTTTAGTGTACTGCATGGAGAGGAAATGTTTCGCAATTGTCCTTCTCTCTGACCCTGAAGTGCATTGACCTGGGCGAAGTTGGAGGAACGACCCAGAAAGCTGCTGAGGGCGGCGGGGAGGGACCAAGGCTGGCTCCAGAGTCTACGTCCCAACCGCTGACCTTGGGGATCTGAGTGAGGCTGCTGCCCCCTCCCTGCTCCCTCCTCATCCCCTTGCCCAGCTTGGCTGGGGGCATCAAGCAGTTCCAGAAGGTTCCCAGGCCCACCCTGGGTGTGTGCTGATGGGGTAGGGGCAGGGGTGAGCTGGTAAAAGTTTAACGAGCAGCAGAAACGAAAGCCCAGCCTTGTAGCATTTGCCCATTTCCATGGTGTAAATACTCCTAGCGTGGCTGATTTCAAATGCTAACACCAGCGTGAGGTCAGCGGCTCACACAGCTCCCGAGAATTTAGCAGTTGACGGCTGTGAGCTGGAACACAGGCGGCAGCGCAGCACAGGTGGGGCCGTGGGGCCAGGCGAGGCCACGCACAGTAACAAGCGCCGACACCCTGGGTTCCAAACGCGGCTCTGAGGCTTCCCAGCAGGGGCCCCTGGGCTAGTGTCGCCTCTCTGAGCCTCAGTTTCCTCATCTATCAAGTTAGTTCATCAACAGGTCCTGCTCCTACGGGGGTTGTGTGGATTTAATAAGATAATTTACATAAAGCATTTAGAGCAGGGCTGGCTTAATGATGACACTCTATGAGTGATGCCTCATTACCAGACTGCCTCAACTTCCCCATCTGTACACAGCACTGCCGTTAATGGATTTACAGTCTGTGACAGCTCCTGGCACTGGGCTTGCTACCTTCCTCTGTCCTGGCTGGACGTCGCTCACCCGGCCCCTGGCGCCCCTCCAGGGCTGGGGTCTCGGTCAGCTAATCACACAGAGACGGCCGCTCTTCCCGAGCGTCTCGTGCACACCGCGGGCTCCTTGGTCCCTCCGACAGCCGCTGAGGGAGGCCCTTTGCTGAATCCCATTTTACAATTGTGACCACTGAGGCCCAGCTGGGATTTGAGCCAGGTCTGGCTTGTTTCCAAGGCTTCCCTATTTACAGCACACGCGGGGCGTGGGATAGGGGTCACGTGGGTCCGCCGGGAGGTGCAGAGCGAGGGCTCTTGGAGCCCCCAGCAGCGCTGACCAAAAACCGAATGCAAGACCAGACACCGGGCAGATGTGGCTCGATGGAGGAAGTGACTCCGGGCAGAGGCGCCACGTGGGCAAAGGTGCGGCGGCTGCTCGGGGAAAGGGGTGTTGGAACGCAGGGGTCTCCCCAGGAGGAATCGGGGGCCTTGGTGGACCAGAGCTTTTTTGTAGCTTTGGTCTGGGCAGTGGGGTCCCCGGACTCCTTGGATTGACACCTGGCTGAGGAGCAAGGTATGAAACTGTAGCAGCAGAGATTTAGGTTAGATATGAAGGAGAACTTTCCAACTGCCTGTGCTGGAAGACGCTGGGCTATATTCCCAAGGGACGTGGCGGCATTTTTCCGATCTAGAGATGGTTTGGAAGAAAGAGAAGACAGCCAGCGCTCCAGGCTGACCCCCTTGCAGGCTGGGTCAGAGACGGGGTGACGGACCCAGGGCAGGGGCAGTCCCCAGTGCCAGCAGTCTGCCCTCATCGGGCTTTGTCAGCCCCTGCTCTAAACCCTCCCATAGCTCCCAGTTACTTGCCCAGTTGCAAGGCCAAAGCCCTCCCTGGGGCTGCCACGGCCCCTCAGCCAGACCCCCACCCTCCTCTGGAGCGGCGCCCCAGCCCAGCGAACCTCCTTCTGTTTCTGGATCACATCCCATCCTTTCGCGCCTCCGGGCCTTTGTGCTGTTCCTTCTGCCTCGAACACCCTTCCCCTTCACCCCTCCTCAGCCTTTCCTTCTCAGCTCTGGGGCGTGGACTCCGTGGCGGGGGCAGCTACCCCGGGCCTCCCCACCACACGCTCCGTGCCGCAGCTGTCGGTGGTGGTGGCTGGGGGGCCTCGAGGGCAGGGGCTTTGCCTGTCTTGCTCAGTGCGCATCTCCTGCACGGCGCTGGGTGTGTGTGGCAGATGCTCGGGGAGGGCTGGGGGAGGTGGGAAGTGCCGGGTTCAGGGGGTGCCGTCCCCCCACTCACGGAGGCAGCACTGCTGGGGCATTAAGAACCCGAATGCAGAGTACAGAGGCCTGGACTCGTGTTCTGCTCCTGCCACTTGCCCCTGGCAGGTCCCCTAACCTCGCAGAGCCTGTTTGCCCGTCTGGGACCTGGGGACAATGGGCCTTCGTGAGGCCCAGAGGTGGTGGTGGAAGGTGGCCAGCCGCGGCCAGCACTCACTAGGTGTCGAGGCCAGGCTCACTCTCGGTCCTCTCCTTGCAGGTGACGGCCATGTCGGTGCGGGTGCGTTTCCTGTCCCCAGGGGACGCAGGGGCCGTGGGGGTCGTGGGCCGCAGCGCTTCCTTCGCGGGCTTCAGCAGCGCACAGAGCCGGAGGATCGCGTGAGTTCCACCTGGGCCATGGGCGTGGGGCTTGTTCAAGGGCCGGGGAAGGGCAGGGACATTCTCCTACTGCCAGTGACCCCGAGACTGGCTCTCCTGCCCAGCTCAGAGCCCAGTGTGGTGTGTGAGCGTGAACGTGTGTGTGCGTGATTCTTGGTGTTGGAGGAAACCAACCATTTCCTTGAGACCCAAACAGATATTTCTAGTACTCTCAAAGTGGATCTGCCTGAACTCAACAGGCCCATGTGGCAGATCAGAATGCTGAGGCTCAGAGAGGTGGAGCTGCTTGCCCAAGATCACACAGCAAAACTGGGCCGAGTCGGGACTTAGTCCCTGGGGTGGATTAGGAAGGAATGTCCTTCCTGTTTGAAAGATTGGGCAATGGTGCCACCTATCCTGGCTCTGTGACCTGGGGCAAGTGACTTCACCTCTCTAAGCCTTTTTTCCTCATCTGAAAACTAGGACTCACAGGGCCGTCGTGAGGCACAACGAGGCGAGCAGCTGGCACACAGTAGGCGCTTGCGGGAAGGTTCCGGGTGAGGAGCAGCCTCTGCAGGGACGGGCCTGGGGTCAGCACTGACCCTCTGGCTGTGAGTCCCCGGGAGGTGCTGCCCGGGCCATGCCTGCCACTCCGCCGTGTGTCTCCTCCAGCGCTGGGTGATAAGTCCCCGGGAGGCAGGTGTTTCTGCTCCTGAGGCCACAGCCCAGTGAGCCCAGGCCTGCTTCCCCGGCTCCGGGCCCTTATGTCGGGCACTGGGCAAGGCCGCAGGGAACTGCCCACCAGCTGGGCCCGGGAGCCGGGCAGTTCTCAGACATCCAGAGGGGCCCAAGCCTCTGCCTGTCAGAGCAGATGGGGTGGACAGGTGGGGTCCCCAGCCAGAGCGGGGTACAGAACCCAGTCGGTCAGTGAGTCAGTCAGCTACCAAATCCCATCATGCCACTCCCCTGCTTGAGACCCTCCAGAGGCTCCCATCTTACCTAGAATACAATCCAGTCCGCTCCGTGGCCTAGTGGCCCCCGGCCTTGGCCCGCCTGGTTTCTCTCCTGTGTTCAGTCCCAGCCTCTCTCCCCTCCAGGCCTCGCACGTGCTGTGCCCTCCTCCCACAGCTCCCTTCCTGCTCCTCTTCCCTGCCAGCTCTGCTCCGTCTTCTGCAGGCCTTGGCTTCATGCCACATCCTGGGGGACCCGTGAGCCCCAGACCAGGCCAGGTCCCTCCTGTATGTGCTCCCTGAGCTCCTTCCGAGGGCTCAATTGGTACGTGACGGCCACCCCCGTCCCCCAGCAATGCTGCCCTGAGGTCAGGCCCCCAGTGCTCTCCTCTCTGGGCTGCCCGGCCCCAGCGTGAGGGGAGAAGCGGCATCTCGGAATTCACTCAATAAACATCTACGGAGCAGCTATACTGGCCAGGCCTTGTCCCAAACTCTGGGGGCAGACCCAGACCCCGCCCTCTTGGGCTCCAGCCCTCAGGGGAGGGGACAAGAAACAGCAAGTGAACCATGATCCAGGCAGATGGGGCTGGTGGCAAGTTCTGTGCAGGAACTTGGATGGGGTGAGGGAGGGCGGGGGTCTCCGACGGGGCCTCCGAGGGGGCCTCAGTGAGTCGGGGCACGTTAGGCGGTGGCCCGAGGGAACAGAAGGGGCCGTTCTGATCGTGTGCACATGGGTGTGGGCCGAGGAAGCCTCCCAGATGGAGGGGACAGCATGTGCAAAGGACCTGAGGCGGGAATGAGCCTTAAGGGACAGAAAGCAGGTGCGCGGCTGGCATGTAGGAGAGTGGTCAAGGAGGGAGGGGTCCCGTGGGGCCTCAAGGGCTGCACTGAGGAGTTGAGACAGTCTCAGTGTGCGGGAGCCACTGGAGGGTTTAGCAGAGGCCCCAAGATGGGAAGAAGTTTGGCTAAAGCCCCAGTGATTAGGGCCCAGTGCCCCCAGTTCCAAGCCCCCTGAGAGGGGAAAGTGTGGCCACTGCTGGGAGAAAGGCATACAGCAGGTGCTCTGTCAGTGCTGCTGAGAGGGCAGAAGCTTAAACAGCCAGAAAATGATGCTATTTCTTGACTTAACCATTTCTGAGCTGCCTCTTCCTGGACTGCTTCAGGGTCCCCCGTGGCGTCTGTCATCAGGGCGGAGCAGGTCAGTTGAGCAGGTTGCTGGCCAGGGGGGCACCCAGCCCGTGTGAACCCCTCCAAGCTGCCCTGGCGCGGAGCTGGTCCACTGAGGCACCGTAGGGGCCCCCGTGTGGTCTGGCAGGCCAGGAAGGGTCTGCAGACCCTGCAGCCTGGGCCGGCTTCGTGAGCACGCGGCCCGTGCACCGCATTTGCGTTTAATGCTCTGCTGTCACCGCCGGGAAATTCTTTGAAACTTTGACCGAGAGGCTTTGCATTTTCGTTTCACACCGGACCCCACAAATTCTGCAACTGGCTCTGCCTGCGGCTCTCCTCCTGCCAGGCCTTTGGGGCCTCTGAACTTCCTGTATCCATGGGAAGCGTGGATGCCCAGAGAGTGCCCCCAGGGGGCCCCTGCCTTTGTTTACCCTCTGGGATTCCTGGGATCAGCATTCTGGGGGGGAGGAAGACAGAGGCCATCCGGCCCCACGACACCAGGGCTCACTGGCCGTCAGCAAGGGTCCTGCAATGTCCAAGCGCTAGTCTAGGAAAGGTGGCCCCGATGGCCACACATGTCCTGGACCCCTCCTCGGGCCCCAGTGTCGGGGGATTCCAGAGGACGCTGGACCTGGGCTGGTTGCTAAGATCCCTGAGCAGCCACTGTCTGGCCTCTGCCTCTGCAGCCCCCTTGTGCCAGGTGAGGAAGAAACTGCCCACAACGTCTATTTTTAACTTCTGTCTCTGTTCCACTCCCTGGAGTCTGGACCCCTGGCTCTGAGGCGGGACAGCCGGGTTGGGTTTCAGGCCTCAACTTCTGGCCTCATTTCCCAGGTAACCAATCCAGGCTGAAACGCAGCCGCCTGCCCACGCTCAGCGCTGGGGCGAGTTGGGCAAGATAACCTCAGACGGGAGAGCAGGGTTCCACTTGGGGTGGGGGGCTGGTGCCTCCTTTGTCCCTGCCTCCAACCCTGTCACCTTGAAACCCCTTTGACTCTAGACAGACTGTTTTATTCCACAATCAGAGAATTCACTTGGAGAAGCAACCTGGTGGGGGAATTTTACACTAAGGTGTGAATGATTGCTGTAAGGAGGCCATTTCCCAAGAGCTGGATTTTTTGGTGTGGGTTGGGTAGGGAGATGGGAGGACGGACAGAGGGGATACAGAGGGCCAGGACCTCACTCTGGTCCCATTCTACCCCAATTGACAGGCACGGCTGCCCTTCACCCCTTTCCTGCCCCTCAGCCAGGTCTCCCTCCCCCCAGGCTGTAGGGCAGGGGCCCCCTGGGTGAGGAGCACCAGGACCTGCTCACCACCTCGGGGACTTCCTCTGTTGATCGCTGGGAAGTGGGGGCAGGCAAACAAAGTAGCAGCCCTTGACATTTCAAGGAGAGGAGGCTGGAGAAAGAGGACAGGAAGGGGCGGCCCTGCGTGTGTGACAGCCGGGGGCACGGGCTGGAGCAGAGGCGAGGGATGCAGGCTCGGTGTCCTGCGCTGTACCGCGGGGGATGGGAGCGGAGACTTGGTCAGGACACGCGAATCACCACGAGTAGGGTCTGAACTTTGCAAGTGCCATGTTTGTCATCATCGCCGACCAGCCAGTGTCACCGGACACCAGATAAGTGGTGAGGTCGTGTCCTTGTTGCATGGAGTCCTCACCCGAAGCCCCTCCAATCGGTCCTATAATCGCCCTGCCTGGAGGCCGGGGGCAGAGGCAGGGCTCGAGCCCAGCCTGCCCGGCTCCAGATCCTGCTCTTGCAGCCGCCCCGCGCCGAGGCCTCCGACCACCTCCCTGGGCAGCACCGCCCTGGCCTCACGTGGGGCCAGCGGGTCACACGTGCCCATCTGGAAGCTCGTCTGGCATGCCAGGGGCTGTTCAATATTTACTGAGTCCTCCCAGAGCTGGCGAATCACCCGCCCCCGGAGGCTGCTCCCTGCCTGGCTGGTGTGACACCCAGGCCAGACATGCAGCCTGATTTCACCATCCGGAGGCCGCCTGCGCATCACCTTCCCTGGCTGGGCCGGCCCGCAGAGCGGCCGCCACGCCTGTCCTGTTGAAGCTCAGACAGGGAGCCCTGGGCTCAGAGCTCCCCCGGGAGTGGGAGCTTCCAGGCACAGCCGCCACCGTGAGGGCGCCGAGGCCCCCCAGGGGGATCGACGGGGGCCAAGCCCAAGGGGCCCACCTGCTGGGGACTGGGCCCCTGGGGGCTGGCAGGAGAGTGGGCACCTGCAGCCCCGCCTCACAGCTGCCTGCCTGCCTGCCAGGCGACACTAGCCCATCCGAAACCAGCCTCTCCCCGAGGCTGCAGCCCTGTCCGTCCCTGCCGGCCTGAAGATGGCAACCTTGTGGAAGGCCCGGTCCAAGAGGTGGGTGATGTGGCCTCAAGGGTTGTCCGGGGAGGAGGGGCAAGACGTCTCTCTGGCTTTGGGAAGCGTCACTTCACATCTGTGATTTGCAGCAACAGCGGGGAACAGCGATTGAGCACTGACGATGCGCCACGCTCGTGCCCAGGGCTCTGTGCACGTCACCTTTACTGTGGGCCCCCGGGAGTGGCAAGAGGGGGTCCCTGCAGCCTCACCCCGGAGCGCCTGCCAGCCCACCTTCCTGTCTGCCTGTTTAAATCCATGACCTCTCCCTCCCGTTGGATTTTTCTCCTTGGCACTTGGTGTTATCTGATTTTTTTTCTTTTCTTTTTTTTTAAAAGTTTATTTAGCTTTGACATATATATGGCACTTACTCTCTGCCAGGTGCTGCTTGAAGTCCTTTATATCTATTAATCCATGTGACCTTGCCCTGGACCCCATTTCACAGATGAGACAGATGAGACAGTTGAGACACAGAGAGGTCCAGTAACTTACCCACGGTCACGCAGCTTGTAAATGGGGGAGTCAGACATAAACCCCAGTCTCTGGCTCTACGCTTGTTACCACTTACCACAGTCTCTCCCAGCTGGCCTGTCAGGTCATGGAGGCAGAGGTTTTGTCTGTTTTGGTCACTCCTCTGTCCCCAGCCTCTAGAGTGGTGACTAATATACAGTAGATGGTCAGTAAACATTTGTTAAACGAATGACTATCTCATGACAGCTCTGTGGGGGCAGGCACTCTTATCGTGCCCCTTTCACAGCTGAGGAAACTGAGGCTTAGGTAGGTTAAGTGCTGGGGACTGACTGCTGGGCTTGGAGTTTGACCGTGGGGGATCTGACCCCGAACTTGCATCTGGACCACCAGACAGTGTGGCTTGCAGCGCAGCGAGGTCCCTGAGGGCCCAGGGCGGACTTCCAGACCCTCTGGCGTGCTGGTCTGTGATCCGGCTGTGCAGCCGTGGCACACAACCACGACGGGGGCTTGGTCCCCGTCAGCAGGCGTGGCCCAGCCAGCTCCCACGTTGAGCCGACAGCGCGTGTGTGGAATGTGCAGTATCTGGCCCAGCTGGAAACACAGCCTGGCCGCCCGCTGAACGTCTCGGGGGCCAGGGCGGGGTGGTGGCCCATGGCCCTTTTCTCAGGGCCAGCAAAGGAGCTGGAGCTTGCCCTGCTTGTCCCCTGCCCGGCTCTGCAGACCGTGCTCCTCTGCCTGTCCCTGTGGACTTGAGGGTGGCCCAGCCCCTCGGCTCCCGTCGCGGCGCCCGATTTGGGAGGAGCCCGCTCTGTGGGTGTGCGCGGTTGGACGAGTCCCTTGCCCTCGACTTTAGACCTCAAAAGTGCAGGCGACTCCAGAGGGCTCCGAGAAGCTCTCAGAGTTGGGTCTCCTTAGCGGAAGGACGTCTCCCGAGGGAAGCAGAGTGGTGAGTCTCAGTGTGGTCCGTGCACCAGCAGCGGTGACAGCACCCGGGGACGCGTCAGAACTGCGTGTCCTCAGGCCCAGCCCAGGTCTGGGTGGGGCGGGGCCGGCAATCGGAGGCAGGTCCTCCAGGTGTTTCTGAGCACCCCGAGACACTTCCGCACCCTGCTGCAAGCTGGCTTCTTACGCTCCTGGGCTGAGGGTGCGCACAAGTCTCAGTTTACACAGACAAGCTATTACCTGGGCAAGTCACTTTTCTGAGCCTCAGTTTCCCCACTTGGCAATGGCTTTAAAACTAATACCTGCCTCATAGGGTGGTTGTGAAGGTTGAATGAGATATTTCTATGAAGCCCTTAGCGAGCACCTGGCAAGAGCAGGTGCTCAGGGTGGACGTGCGGTCCACGTGCTCTCGCCGAGCTCCCAGGCCCTCGGGTGCATGGCGTTAGCTGTCCCAGCAGCGTGGCCTGAGATTAACCTCTCCCTGTGGAGACGTTAGTTCTCGCTGGGAAGGCATGTGAAGCGGCGCCTTTCTCTGGGAGCTGGCTCTCTCCTCCCCCGCCATCCTGGGTCCCCAAAGTTAGAGGGCTCTAGGTCCGGGCTTTTGGCAGCCCCCCAGCTCTGCTTTGGTAAAAACTTCTCCTTCTGCCCACTCACAGACTGTACCACTCCCCCTTCCGCCCTCGATCCCTCTGTCCCCTAACTGGGAATCCCGGGGTGGAAACCCGCTGTCCTGCTCCGCCTTCCAGAGAAAGCTGAGCGCCCCGAGGCCAGGATCTCTGTTCTCCTGTCCCCTGGGCACGCCGCGTTTCCCCATCCGTCTTAGCTTAGTATTTACTGAGCACCTACTGTTCTCCAGGCCGGGAGGCAAGGGACAGTGACAGATAGGATGTGATTATTATAACAATGCTAACATTTATAAAGCTGCCTTTGCATCAGACCTTCGGCTTGGCATCTGATAGAATTCTCGGCACCACCCTCCGGTGTAGGTTTTATTGTTCCCTCCATTTACAGATGAGAAAACTGAGGCTTGGGTAGTGTGTTTGTGCAGAGGTGAAGTTGCTTTGACAAAGGAACCCCCAAAATGCAGGCACTTAAGTAAGGTGTTATTCCTCTCTCAGCAGTCCCGAGCCAATGGGCAATCGGGGCCGGGGGGTGTCTTCCCCCACAAGGCTGTTCAGGGCTATTGCTTCTCTCTGCTTGCTCCGCCGTCTCCACGGGGGCCCTTGTGCGTGTGGTTGAAGCTGGCTTCCAGAGCATTTTTGCTCAAGCCTTTGCGAAGAAGAGGAGTCTGAGCTCTGTGCTATGACGAAGGTGTCCTGACCCCGTGCTACTGTAATCAGTCCCGAGAGGCTGCTGTGTCTCTAAAGGTTAAGGGACCCAGCTATCGCTACTAGAAGACAGTTCTTAGGCTCATTCCGTACACATTCCCAGTTCCAACTGGCTTCAGCAGAAAAGACCCAGCCAGCTCATGTAACTGCAAAGTCCACCAGCAGGTTCTGCTTCAGGCATAGCTGGATCCAGGAACTCATTATAACACAGATCCGGTCTGCTTCTCTGTGTTGGCTCCATTCTCCCCACATAGTGGTAAAGACAGGAAGCTGGAAGTTCCAGGGGTGTGTTCCCAGGTTGGCAATGCCCATGGAAAAAACCCTTCTCCCTCCTGTGAATTCTGGTTACTGGCTAAACTTGTACCTCATGCTGCTCCTTGCCCACAGGGGCACAATGTGTTCACTGACCCGGCCTGGGACGTGGGTCTGCCTCAGAATGCCTATGTATGTGTGTCCATGTGCGAATGTGTGTGTGTGTGTGTTGATTCATCAGGCTACCTTTCCCCCCACACCACAAGTGGCAGCAGCAGAGCTGGGGAGATGCCCCAGAGGGAGGGAGATGGATGCTGGGCAGGTAAAGCCAACAGGGGCCCACCCCCTGGGTAAACCACAAGGCTACAATTTGGCCTCCCACACAGCTTTGCCTGCACAGGCCAAGCATGCTGAGCAGAGAACGTCGGCATTTGAGCTGCTTGATATTGTATCCTCACTGTAAGTTTATTTCTGATACCAGGTTTTTATCCTTTTAATCCTCAAATCCAGGCCTCTCTTTTTACAGAGGAGGAAACTGAGGCCCAGAGAGTTTCAACAACTTTCTTGAGACCACACAGCTTGGTGGAGATGGGGGTGGACTCCAGGTCTCCCAACTCCCTGGGGCTCTGGTCACTGTTCCCAAAGTGCCCTCCCCGGGGGGCAGAGCCCTGCTCTGACCTCTCCTCCCCTGCACCCCTTCTCACAGAAAGTCCATCAACAGGAACTCCGTGAGGTCACGAATGCCTGTAAAATCCTCCAAGACGTACGGCACGCTGCGGAAGGGGTCGGTGTGCTCGGACCCCAAGCCCCAGCAGGTGAAGAAGATCTTTGAGGCGCTGAAGAGAGGCCTCAAGTAAGCAGGGCTGTGTGCTGCCTTTACACAGTGCATCCTTCTGCCTCGCCTGCCTCCCTCTGCCTCTTCCTGGGGACGTGCGGGCGGGACTGTCTGTCAAGGTGACAGAGGGAGCTCCTGGTCATTCGTTTGGTGAGCAAGCATGTGGGGGTGCAGCCATGCACTCAGCCTGGTCCTTGGGCACTGGGGACCGGCAGTGAATAGGGCGGAGGACGCTGGTCTCGTGGTGTTCCCGTGCAGGGGAGCAGGCGGCGATGAAGAGGGAACATAATCAATACTGTAATTGATACACAACTTCTGGCGCTGAGTGCTGTGAAGAGAGGTAACGGAGAGATGTGCTGCTCCTTGCTGCTCTCCTTTCCCGTCTCCACCCTGCCAGGCCCTCCCCTGCTCAAGTCTCTGCCATGGCTCCCTACTGCCCTTGGGAGGGCATTCAGGGTCTTTTCTGACCCTCAGCCTCTCCAGACTTTTCTTTCGTCACTCACTCCCCATTCCCACTGTGGTTGGCTGCGTGTCATCACCGAGTGCCAACGTCCTTCCCGCGTCTGCACCCCGGCTCCTGCCCAACAGGCTCTGCGGGCAGGGCGGTGTCGGGGGCTGCCGCGGCTCCATTTCTCTGGTGCAGCCAGCAGCGTCTGCCAAACGGAACACGGTTCCTCAGCCTCCAGGGGTCCTGTTCTCCCTCCCCCGCTAATTAATAACAACAGCAGCTACGACATGCTTAGTGGTTTACACTGATTGTGTCCTTGACTCCCTCGAGAACCCTAAGAGATGCCCATAGCTGCCCTTTCTGGATGAGGAAACTGAGTCCCAAAGATGGGAAGCAATTTGTCTAGGACCCCACAGCCAGTAAACAGGGAGTAGGATTAGAAGCCACCAAATCGACTCTGGATCAAAGCTGAGCTGCTCTGTTGTGTCACCTGGGCTCAGGGCAGATGTCACCTCCCCACACCACCAGCGTCCCTCACCCTCCTCCCATGACACTCACTGTCCCCCTCTGCCCAGCGCTGGAGACAGTGGGAACTGGGTGTGTGTAGAGGGGAGAGGCCTTACCCCGGGGGGGCTCATCTTCCACGACAGCTTCCAATGTCCCCTGAGGGTGGCACGTTTGAGACGTGCGTCTGGGGCCGGTGGCACCTCCTCCATCCTGGGGAGCCAGCCCCTGGGTGAGCGGTCGCCTAGCGCGAGCTGCCTCTTCCGCATCCGAGGTGGCCTAAGTGGGGCCTGGAGGGCACGTGACCTTCCTGGGGCGACTCAGATCCGCGATGGAGCAGGCTGGGCCCCTCCCCGGCGCCCCGGTCCAGACCGTCAACTTGAGGGTGGTGGGCTCTGCTGCCCTCCCCAGGGCTGGGCCCCGGCTTCGGAAGGGGCATGACACGGGGGTGAAGATCTGGCTTCCGGAGGCCGCGGCGTGGCTTCGGACCTGGGCGCAGCCTGGCTCCTGCCGCGTGGCCTGGGCCTGGTCACTTGCTGCCGGCGAGGGTCCGTCCGCTCATCTTCAGAACGTGTGGGTCGCCTGAGCTCAAGACCAGCCTGGGCAACACAGTGAGACCTCGTCTCTTAAAAAAGAAATAATAATAATTAAAATTATGTGCAAGTTGGAATAATCAATGTTTGATGGACAAAGTTCCATTATATTTGAGCACTATTTCGAGTTTATTCTAACTCTGAAAATGCTGCATTTGACTTAGGATCATACAAAAAAACATAGCCTTACAGGAGTCTGGGAAACTCTTATTTGGGGTAGGAGGTGTTTCAGAATATCGGGTTTCTTTAAGAAA